AAATGTCCCTTCTGCAAAATGAATAAATAAGCAAGTCTTGCTCAAGTAAGTCAGTCAAACGCCAATGGATTTGCTGCTAATGTTCAATGCCATGGAGCAGCACGTCAAAGAGGAGGTTTTCTATCTGTGCTTTTAGGAGCAAGCCTTCCTTTGGGGTCCTAACTGTCCTTCTCAATCTCAGTCTCATTCCTCATCACATGCCCCATAAAGGCTCAGCACCTCTTAGAATATATGCTAGTGTGATCTCTGGTTTACAGGCCTATAGAAAGTCAAGAAAACCAAAAACCAAGCCAGTTGTGGTGAACCCATATGTGCTGAGTAAAACTGCTACTACTCCAGAGCACTATAGAGTTTTCAAGGCTATGACATTTCAAAAGCAGATCACCAGACCTTTCTTCCAAAGCACCTCTGGGTGTTTTCGAACCCTTAACTTTTCCTGGTTAGTAGTTGAGCACTTAACCAGTTGTGTCACCCTGGGGAAGTCAAGAGACTCAATAAAGCCAAAGAGATTGCTGAACTCTTATTCTAGGACCCTTTCTCTTTTGAAAGACTGTTGGTAAGTGAAAATTTTATACTATTCATGAGGATTGTTAAAAGATGACGCTTGTTTTGTTTAAAGACTCTGTGGATATCTGTAGAATAAAGTTGAAGAGGGATGAAATGGCCTACTGGTGGAAAGAGATGGGAGGTACAGGGGATCCAACAGAGAAAATGAAGGCAAATGAGACATGTTACACACTCATCAGGAGCATTTGGACACAGACACACTGGGAAACAGCTATCTGGTGGCTAGTGCTGTCCTGCCCCTGTGCACCCAGGCCTCAATAGGCCACCCTAATGTTCATCTTGGGGATTTGTTTCTCAAAGGAACTAAACGTTCCAGGTGTGACCTGGAGATTGAGCCCAGATTTATGAAGGCAGGATTCAGGTATATTCTGAGCAACTCGTTCTTGGTGCTAAACAGAAGGAATGAATAAATGGCTTTTGAGGAAGCACTCTCAGGTAAACCACTTCCATACAATGTTCTCCCTTTGAGGGCTATTTCATTGTTGTTATTATTAAGTGTTGTGGAGTCGGTTCCAACTCATAGTGACCCTATGTAGGGTTTCCAAGGAACGACTGGTGGGTTTGAACCGCCGACCTTGTGGTTTGCAGTCTATTGCTTATTCTACAGCACTACACCAGGACTCCGAGTGGTTATGTTATTGCTGTTGTTAAGTGCTGTAGAGTCGGTTCCGACTCATAGTGACCTTGTATAGGGTCTCTGAGGAGCAGCTGGTGAGTTTGAACCACCAATCTTGCGGTTTAAACCAACCTTGTGGTCCATTTCTTAAGAGACCCAATTTCCCTGGGCCTTTAAGTGAAGGCAAAGACAGCAGACAATGAGAAAGGTGCCCCAAAGAAAAGGCTAAAGCAGACTGTCTTGCAGTCATTTCAGTTATAGGCTTACCTAGGGACCAGAAGAGTGCTGAATGGTCTTTTGCTTTTCTTATGGCAACACACTTGTGCAAAATGGGAAGGAATGGAGACTTGGAATGCCCTTGGAGAGGAGGATAACACTTCCTTTATTTGTTGCCTCCTTTAGTTCTTCCCTCCTTGACCTGGTTGTGTTGCCTTTGCCTCCAAGCTCCTCTCAGGACCAGAACCTTCCTGTGGGATGGAGTAGGAATCTTGGACCGGGTGCCATTAATGGCCTTCCAAGCTGCGAACAACTTCAGAATGCACAAGGTGTCGGCACCATCCTTGCATATTTCTAAAGGGTGAGTGAGATGAACTCAGTATTCTTTAATGTTGTTTTTGTTAAGTGCTGTCAAATTGGTTCTGACCCATAGTGACCCAGTATAAGGTCTCTGAGGAATGGCTGGTGAGCTTGAATCACTGACCTTGCAGTTCGAACAACTTTGCAGTGCAGCACATTAACCCACAGTGCCACACCAGGACTTACCACAGGATTCTTTAATAGGACCCTATTAATAAGAACCTATTTAATGTGAACCCATTCTCCAGGGAGGCATTAAAAAAATAATGCCTGTAGAATATTCTACTAACTCATATTGCATTACTTTGAAATAAGTTGATCACATTTTCTATTTCTTTTTAAACTCTTAGTCAACTTCAGTATATTTCATTTGATATACAATTTCTTTTAATATATCACAAAAATGAAACTTGGGTTTCTATTTTAGCAAAGATATATTTGATCAATCAAAATAAATTTCCATAGGGGAGGAGCACATTTGTGAACAACCAAATTAGAATTACCCTCCTTAAGGTGGATCTTATGGAGTCCTGGTATGGCACTGTGGATTAATGCACTGGACTGCAAAGTTGGTTTGAACTGCAAGGTCAGTAGTTCAAGCTCACCAGTTACTCCTTGGAAAACCTATGCAAGGTAGCTATGGGTCAGAACCGACTCGACAGCACTTACCAACACCACCACCAAGAAGTTGAGTCTTAGATGAATTCTTGCTTCGTTGTTGTTAAGTGCCATCAAGTCGGTTCGGACTCATAGTGACCCTGTATAGGGTTTCCAAGGAGCGGCTGGTGAGCATGAACCACTGACCTTGGGATTCAAGCCAACCCCCTATAGTCCAGGGCATTAGCCCACAGCACCATATCAGGACTCCACCCTCTATTTGTTGTTGTTGTTGTGTCAGTGCTGTTGAGTTGGTTCTGATCCATAGCGACCCTGTATAGGGTTTCCAAGGAGCAGCTGGTGAACTTGAACTGCCGACCTTGCAGTCTGGTGCATTAATCCACAGAGCCACGCCAGGACTCCCACTTTAGCTGGACTCCAATAGCAGTAACAACACACCACAAAAGGAAGGGAACATGCAACTGAAATACTGAACACACCTCCTTCATTGGATTTTTCAATGACAGAAGAAATGAACTCAAAATATTAACTGATGAGCGTCAGAATTGTTCTTCAAAGAGCTGAGTGACACATAACAGAAAACACTATAATTATCTGTTAGTAAATTGAATACCTCTAACAGATGGTGTTCTATTTTGTCCCTAAAATGAGTTGTTCACCTGATTGGAATTTTTTTTCTGATCCTTCACTCCAAATTCAGTTATTTAACGTCCACTGAGTGCAATGTGAACTGGTTTGTTTCCCTTCCTTTGGGAATCTGACAGTAAGATCATTTCTGCTTCCGTTGAGTTTGATACTCCTTGTTGTTATGTGCTGTCTAATCAGTTCAACTCAGTAAAGCTGTCTATATAGGATGTCCGAGGAGTGGCTGGTAGGTTTGGACAACAAATCTTGTTGTTAGCAGTGTTGATCCTACAGCACCATACCAGGACTCCAGTTGATACTTTGTTGTTAAGTGCCTTTGAGCAGGTTCTAAATCATAGACAACCCTGTATAGGGTTTGAACTCTTGACCTTGTGGCTAGCAGTCCAGTGTTTATCCTACAGCACCATACCAAGAGTCCTGTTGATACTTAGGAAATAAAAATTATCTAATTTATTTACAAGGAATTGCTATTATACTGAGCCCCAAATTTACAGGAAATGAATGATTTGCTAAATTAAGGGGGTGTTCTTTGATTAAAGGATAGATTGTTGTGAAGGTTTATTTAGATTTCTCTGAAAAAGCTATGTACAGCCTTCTTTACAAACCCTACCTTCCATTGTATTCAAAGGAACCCCAACAATGGCTCCAGTTAGCCATTTCATAGGCTACACCCTTGTACTGTCAGAATGGCAGACTCCAGAAGTTCAGACTTAGTTCTAAAAATTCACAACCCTAGATGGTTTATTTTTTTCCTTTTAACAAAGATAGTTTTGAAGACACACACAAACACAAATACATCTAAAAACTCTACTTGCTGAAACCGTAACATCAGAAATAAGTCCACTTTACTTTGACTTTGAAAATATTTTTATTTCAATAGTAAATAGTTATACAGTCAAAACAGTTCTATTGAAGCTTTCTATAAATAGCTAACAATTAAGAAAATAATGTATGTAGAAAAGAGATTGCATTTAAAAGTAAGAGCTGTCAGTTGTACAATGACCTCAGGAGGCCCTCCAAGCAGAATAAAATGGTAGGTTGTCTGTAATTCACTTAGATAGATATAAAAGTTAAAACTTTTAGCAGACCCCTTTAGAAAAAGGCTCTTTTCTAAAATGCACAGTGAAATGTCAAGAGTGGCAGGGGAAAAAAAAAAAGGCGTGCCAAAAATCTGCAATCAAATAATATCATAATCTTCATAATATAAATAAATAAAGAATAAATAACAATTACTCATAAATCAACATATACATTTAGAGAAAACTCATATAGTTCTACCTCAACAAAGATGATCAAACCAAAAAACCTTATTTGAAATATTGAGGCAGTTTCTACAACATCTTCTGAAATTCCCTTCCCTCCCCCAAAACAATCCCAAACAGACAACAGTTCAAGGCATTTGTGGCTATACTAAAGAAAACTCTTTTTTAAGCAATTTGATTTGTTCACATACAAAAAGGTAAAGCCAGACTCCAGCAGTTCACAAGCCATAATAAAGCTAATCGTGTGGGAAGTTCAATTTACAGCCTGTGAAATATAAAGGCATTTATTCCTCAAGATTCACCCAAAATAACCCGTACGCTACATACATAGAGAGCAGAGTGGTAGGCAAGAGCAAACCGCATTTCTAGACCATGAACACAGCGAGTACTAGCAAGAAAAACAGCTTCTTCCCATCCAAGGGGAGCTTTCAACCACGAGACAAACGCGTACAGCTTTCCCCCCTTGTACAGAAAGGAATTGGCTCTTGTTGCGCCATGGGGGGAGAGGTGGGGAGACAACGCAAAAGGGGGGTCCAAAAGGAGTCACGACAAGAGGGTAGGGGTTATGGTCACGCCACACCAAGCGAAGCCGAGAAGACACTTTGACAGGGGATAGGACCCCGCGCGGACGTAGGTTCTGGGCGCGTAGAAGCGCTCTCTCTTTGTGGGTCTCCAAGCGAAGGCACAGTTCAGGGGGCCGGGGTGGAGGGTACGCTCTAGCAGGCCGGACGCACAGGCACCTGCAGGAGGATCACTTGTCTGTTCTCCGACGGGTGGCACTTGTTGATATGCCGCGTGAGGCCCGGCGAGCTGTAGAAGGTGGCCGGGCAGTACTTGCAGGGAAACACCTGAGCGGCATGCAGCAGGCGTAGATGACGCTCCTGGGAGCCCTTGCTGGGGAACGTCTCCCCGCACACCGGGCACAGGTGGCACTCGGCGGGAGCACTCAGACCCAGTATGCCGGTCGCCTCGCTGTCGCCGGCTGTTTCCTGGGGCGCCTTATCTTCGGGCCTTGGGTACAAGGCCAGCAGGTCCTCGGCGGGGGGTGTAGGTGGCGAGACCTTGGCCTGCAGCGCTTGGTGGTGCGCCAGCAGGTGCTTGCGCAAATAGGCCTGGCGGCGGAACTTCTTGGTGCAGTGGTGGCACTCATAGAGCCCGTCCTCGGAGCCCGACTCGGACACACCGCCAGGACTTGGCGTATCGCGGTCGCTGCTCCCGTTCGTCGCCTCCCGCGCATCAGCCCTGGCGGCCGCTTCGGGCTCCGGTGCGCGGGCTGTGGCGGGCGCTGGCCGCGGTTTGTGCCAGCGGCGGTGGGAGGCCAGGTTAGCCGGGCAGCTGAAGACCTTGGCGCACTCTGGGCAGCGGTATTCCACGCGTACAATGCGCGAGCACTTGTGCTGCGCCAACGAGAAAGGATCGGCGTACTCCTCCTTGCACAGCTGGCAGATGAACTCGCCTAACGGCCGCGCCGCACCCCCTGCTCGGCCCCGCGGCGCCTCCACCGGGCCCTCCTTGATCTTCAGTCCCAGCACTGGAGACGTGGTCACCTCGTCCTCGAAATGCAGCTTACGGATGGCTTTGGGCTTTTTGACGCCCGGGGCCTTGGTTGCCTTGGCAGGTGGCTCCGCTGCGGCGGCAGCGGCTGGGGGCGCAGGTCGCTTGCCTGGGGGCCGCAGGGCGGCGGCAGAGGGCAACGGGGGCCTCGACCCGGGCCCACGGGCCGCCTCAGTACCTGCGGAGAACGCAGTGCCCATCTTGAGCTCGGCGGGCGCAAAGAGCAGTGCGTCGCCACCGCAGGTGCCGCCGCCACCCGCTACATGCCCGCTGTGCCCACCGCCGCTCCCGAGCAGCGCGGCGGGCGTGGGGAAGGACTCGGCCGAGACAGGCGAGCCGAGGTTGAAGCTGCGCTCGAAGTACTTGTGTTTCTCGTGCTCGCGACTCACCGGTCGCGTGGGGCTGTACAGTGGCGCCGGGTGCGCGGCCTCTGGGTTGCCGAAGTGCGCGGTGCGCGGGCCGGGTGAGGGAGGCGGCGGGCCAGGCGCACAGGCGAGGGCGGCGGCGAGCACCGCATGGGCGCGCTCGGTAGGCGGCGGCGGCGGCGGCGGCGGTGGCGGCGGCGGCAGCGGTAGCGGCAACGACAGCGGCCCGGGCCCTGAGCTTGGTGCTGGAGGCTCGGCGCGGGCTCCCCCACAGCCCGGGGAGAGCAGCAGCGCGCGGTCGCCGTCCTCGCCACAGCGGACCCGGTAGGACACTGGCGTGGACTTCTTGCTGCGCTTCACTAGGAAGCCGCGGGGCATCTTGGCGCAGCGCGCGGCCAAACCGCTGGCTAGCTCCCACCGCCGCGCTCTACCCCGGCCTCCCTCAGTGCTCCCTGCCCATTGCCTAGCAGAGCGGCGGCGGACTAGCGTGGCGCCGGTGGCAGCTCGGCCTAGCTCTGCGCCCTGCACGCGTGTCCCTTTCCCCAGGTCTGGTCGTCGCTGCCTTTTAACGGGGGGAGGGGGCCATTGTTCTCGCCTCCCGCTTTCCCCGTAGCCAATCAGCGCGCCCGCACTTCCTCCGCCTGGTAGGGTGGGAGAGCTATAGGACTGCAAAAAGGGAGCCGGGACTCGGGGGTCGCCCGGTAGGTGCGGCAGATGTACCTGAGGGCGCGGGGGCCCCCGTGAGCGCCCCTTGTCACTCCGCCCGTCGCTGCGCCCCGCCGGGCCCCGGCACACGCCTGGCCCCGCCTCCCTTCACGGTCGGCTGCTCCTCTATGGGAGGTGCACGTGCCTGGGCTTTGTGTCTCTCCTCCGGGGGGCGCAGGGCCGCCAAATGGGCCGGTCTATCAGCACGACAATGCGCCCCCTTCCCGCGCGGGGATTACCCGCGGGTTGCGAGCAAAATAGCAACAAAGGACAAGAATGGCCCCAAATATGTCAGGAGAACGAAATACGCGAGCCGGAGCAGAGGGGGAAGTGGTGCGTGCTGATTGGGTGGGTTGGGGGACATCAGTAAGCGCCAGGACATGGGAGTGCGGCTGCCGGGCAAGAGACCTAGCCCGGGAGATACTTGGAAGCTCCATGTGTAGTTTCAAAAATAATTAAGAGTCGAAAATAGCAGTAAAACGGGGTCAGCCAAGAGCTCCCGCTTGACCCCGAGACATATAGAACCGGAACTCAGGTTTAAGCAAAAAATGGAAACTGAGGTTCCGAGTTTAGGTAGAGGATTTGGCCTTTTCTGGATGCAGTCGAACGTTTTGTTAGTGCCTACAGCTTCAGCGCTCCCTCAGGTCCCAGAACGCTTTCTCGCGAGTTTGGGTAACAGTTGGCACCGCACTTCGTCAATTGCCTGCCGAAATGGGGGAAGGAGAATAAGACTGGGCTGGGTTCCAAAAGGAACTTGAATTTCTGAACTTTTATTTTTTTAAGTTCCCCAGGGTTCGGGTGTTGGCCTCCTTGGAGAGCCCCTACTCAGGACGCTCAGAATCCCCACGCCACTCAGGACCAAGCTGATATGGGTTGATTTAGCCAAAGCCGGTAACATGCTATCTGCAGCGTGAACCACAGTGAAGTTGGTTTCCGCCCTCCCTTAGCGCGGTCTCATGCATTTTCATTCTGAGCGGGCATTTTGTCTGCGGGTTGACATCAGATGCTAAATCAAGGACTCCAATCAAGGCACTACGGAATAAAGGGGCCGCCTGTCTGGGCGCGGGGTCTCCCTCCCGCCCCCCCGCCCCGAACTGTGCCCCCTTCACCTTTGTGAAGGAAATTAACCTCCCGCTATTGAGCGCCGGCCGCAGCCAATCTGGAAGCAAAAGAGACGCGTGCTGCTGGCTGGGGGGGAGGGGGGCAATCTGTCCTCCGAAGCTGGCTGCGGCCTCAGAGAGGACAAACCATCTCCCCCTAGCCACTAGAAAAAGAAAACAGCGAAGACCCAAACTACCCTCCTACTACCCCTAGCTTCCTTTCTCCTGTCCGGTTTGGACCCTGATCTGGCCTACTGCCTTCTTCCACTTTCCAACCGAGCCTCAGAAAATCCACAAGGCAGCATCTCCGGGAGCGGAAACACAGTGACCTGGATGCACATCCATGGGAAAGTGCACGGTGGCTCGTGTCGCGTATCGTTGAGAAACAAATAGTAAAGCCACATACAAAGTTTTTGTTGTAAGAAAAAAATGCCAGTTTACTGAATGGAAGGAAATAGACTTTTTTTTTCCTGCAAAAATGCACGCTGATAGATTTTGCTGAAAGAGTTTTACTTGCCTTTAATTCCACTGAAAGTATTTGTTTTGGATTTTCCCTCCGAAAATAGACTGGAATGGAAATTAACTAAAAATTTTTTGTTTGTTTTACAGCTTCCACATGAGTAATAACTTGTGCTAGAGACAGTTGTTGGAGAATCTCTCTGGTTAATCAAAGAGAAATATATTTGCTGATTTTATATTTGTGATTAAAAAAAAAACACCACACAGACTGAAAAGAAAAAAAAATGTAATGGAATATATTTGTAAAGTCTTACCTTTCTTGTAAAAAGGTTAATTGGGATGAATGTTATGTTTTTTTAAGTTAGAAATCCTAAAATGAATTTATTTAAAATGCATACATATGTGTCCATCTGATGTTATTTTCTTGCTCTTTTGAGCGCTGATTAATATTGCTGATGAAATTAGAAATGGGAAAGAGATTCCGGGACAGCTCAGCCGATTTTATCTTCTAATCACGACTCCCATCTGGACTGTGGAATAATAGGGTGGAGGGGGGAATAGGCAAATCATCGCCAACTGACTGCGGGGTATTTGGTCTTGCATATGTAACACTCCTTTCATTCAACAGATAACAGAGAGAGTTAGTCACCTAGTGAATCTTTAAAAAATAACAACACTCATAATTGTAAAGAAGGGGAAGGATTAAAACAACAACAACAACAAAACCAAAACTCCGGACTATTCATGTATTGAATTCAAACTGGGCTCTGAATTAAGCCAAGGGAATCTATTGAACGCTATTGAGATGCTGAGATTCAATGAATATGCTTCTTTTTCTCTGTGGTTTCTAGTCTTACTAGCCGAAATGAAATCTGCTTTCAGACGGTTCAGCTAAACCAAATGGAAACTTGAAAGGTACAAGTATTCGAAACGGATTTCATAACCCATGGCTGGAGGGGGGTGGGGGGAGGAATTAGTCTGCTTGCTAGTGCACACCAGCAACTTCCAAGCAGGTGCATCCGCGTATTGGGTTGTGGGTCTTTGCCACCTTCTGTGTGATCAGCCCCCCCGCCCCCCCCAACCTGTAAATCATCAGGAGTGAGGACGTCGGGTTGAGTATTCGTCTTCCCCTGGGAAGAGCAAAGCACCGTCGAGTTGTCTCTCCCCTACCCCCCACCACCACGGTTGACCTTTGCACACAGTAATTCCAGGAAGGGGTCCAATGGAGTTGGGATGGGGAAACACTGAGGACTGCCTTGGCCCTTTCCAGGAGGGGGCTGAAGCTAGTCAGGGGCGTTGGTGAGCTCAGGGATCCGAGACAGGGCACTGCAGAGTCCTTCTCGGCCTCAGGTGGCTCCTTTCCCTCCCTGTGGGACCCTGGGCAGCGCTCTGAAAAAAAATCGGGGGCATCCCTTCGTTTCTTGTCCTTGTAGACCTAGATTTGAGTTCTTTTTTCTATCGTCTCGGAACTGATGTCGAAGGCTTTTGTTAGTGCGAACGCAGTGGTTCACTGTGACCCCCAGCTTGGTCGCAACTCTAGAAGCAAGGTTCCAGGGAGTGTCTGGAAAACGCGAAGATTGGACATTAGGGCCCAAACGGGGCCGTTTAGCGGAGGAGCTAGCCCCGTTGAGTATCCGGAAGTCCAGGCAACCTCTGCGTTTAATAGAGGCGAGGATGGGCGTGTCCACAATCTCATTCTGTCGCTGGTAGCGCATCTGGAGTGACCGAGCGGGAATCTTCAGCGCCCACACCCTACATCCATCCTGCGACAGACCCCTCTCCTAGCTTCACAGAAGTCTCTATTCCCGTTTCTCGGTCCCCATGATCCACGGTCCGGCCTGAAACCTGCGTTCCCATTGCAGGCCAGCTCCGAGGTCCTCGAGTTCTGCGATGTCCCGTGGCCCAGTGCGCAGTGAGCGCAGGCCCGAGCTGGGGAGAGGCTTTGTGTTCGCAGGAATGAGGGGTTGTGTGTCATTCTGAGGGGCACGCGAGAGACACGCGCAGCCCGCCAGCCGCCCCAGCCGGGCCTGCAGGCACCTTTAGGGAGGGGGGGGGCGCCCGCGGACCGTCGCCTTTGTCCGGCATATTAGCATAAAGCTGCCATGGATCTCCCGTTGAAATAATTCCACACAAAAGGAGAGTGTATGAAAGAGCGAACAAGGCGAGGCTGCGCCGGCGCGGCAGCCCCACTGCTCCAGGATTCCCCCCTTGAGGGTCAAGTACCCCGGCAAGCTGCCGGGGCCCATTATTTGACTGGGGCCACGGGCATTTATCCCCCGAGTACTGGGTCTGGGCCACGAGCGCTCCATGAAGTACCCTTAAGGTTGTGTGTTTTTGCTTAGGTGGGACCATCACGGCCGGGGTCAGGGAAGGGACAGGAAAGCTCAGAGTGGACAGTTCGAAGAGTGGTGTTAGCAAAAGTCCGCAAAGGCGTTGTCAACGAATGTGAAAGAGCCATAATCAGAGACTCATGCCCAGAAGAGCTGGTTGGCTTTGAAGTAACCGGAATGGCATTGATGATGGGGCGAAAGAGGGGTCTGCTCCCTACTGTGAGCTGAGGGCAGCCCCATCCCCGCTGCCTCCGTTTCAGAGGAATAAAGGAACCAACACACCAGTGCAAAAATTGACTAGAGAGACCCGCGACCTCAAGCCCTCCTCCGTGGTTCCTGGGGTGGGGGACAGAAGAAACGCACTTTTTGCAGTGGCCTGGGCCACTTCCTTTGTTTTGCCCTTGGGTTTTGATTGTGTTCTTCTTCCTCTACTTCCCAAGCCTCTCCTATTACCCTCTCCTCTCTCTTCTTTCTCTTTGCTTCCGTGCTCTCTCCCTTCTTCTCTCGCCCCAGGCCTCTCTCTTCCCTCCTTCTTTCCTCTCTTCTTTATCTCTCCCATCCCCATTCCATCTCTCCTTCCCTTTTTCATCTTTACTCCCTCCTCTTTCCTCCGGGATTCTCTCCCACCCTAGCATTTCCCCTTCACTCTCAATCTCTGCCTCTCACTATCCCCTTGCCTCTTTCTTCCACTCAATCTCTATCTGTCCCGTTTTCTTCCCGGTTCCACCTATATCCCTTCTGCTTCTCTTGGTCTCTCTCTTCTCCCGTTTCCTGCCTTTACCCTCACCTCTCTTTCCTTGTCTTTCCCCCTCTCTACACCCCCATCTTTGCCTTCTCTCCCTCACCTCTTACCAGGTCGTCCTCTCCACCTACACTCCCCCCCACCCCATTTCACTCCCTTCTCCTCCTTTCCTCCTTTTTTGACTCGTCCTCCGCCCCCTCCCATTCCTCCCCGCAGGCCTACGTGTGTTATTTTATTTGTCTAGAGAGCGCCTATTTGTTCAGTGATGTGTGGCCTCCTGGCCGCCTGCTTTAATGGGGGTGCGGAGGCTTGGTTTCTGTGAACATTAGCATACAGCTGCCAGGCTCCGTGCCCCATCCTAGCGCTCACTTTATCCCAGCCTTATCATCACCTCTTCTCTCATCCAGAAAACAATCAACAGCTTCTCACACCCAGAGACTTTCAAACTGAGCCCCTCGCTACTTCTTGGCTAACACTCACTCAAATGGGTTCTCTGTCTCTCACAGGCACACACCCTCTTCTAAGAGTAAATATGGATTGGCTAGCTGCATATTTTATTCTCCACAGTTCCTTTTCCTTCCATCCTCTTCTTTTTCTTTCCTGTAATATTTGGTATCATAAAATAGCAAGCCATTTCTGGATTGAGGGAGTCAAACTATCAAAAGCAAACCGTGTCATGTGATTATTAAGGGTGCCAATGATGCAGGGCTGTAACGTGATTTGGGGAAATAAAACACTTGAAAATTAACTTTGATATTTTCTTGTCAATGTTCTTTGATCAAAAATATAGAATTACAAAATCTGGCTTAAAACCCAAGATACCCAGGCTCAACAGTAAATGCTGAAATATGTGAGGAATTCAGTTTTTCCATCTTTATAAAGTCCATTCCTTATGGACACAGAAAGAAGTCCAAATATCTCTTTTTGGGACCCTTTCTTTTGCCCCACTTTCCCACCAGCAAGTAGTAAGTAGCTCTCTTCTAAAGCCCTTAAAACAGCAAATTTCAAGCTGCAACCAAAGATTATTGGCTTTTTCTCTTGTCCTTAGGGAATTTGTTCCTCAGTGGTAAAGTGCTGAATTTGTGCATGTATGATAAAATTCCTACCTAAATTCAGGAAATTACTCACTTTCTGAATATGGGGCAATGATAAAATTACTTTGTCAAATAAGTTTTGTAGAATAAAAATATCCTACATATTTTCAAATCTTTTGGATACTTATACAGAGGTTCAAGACTACTTCTAAATAGGCAGCAAAGGAACAGCTATTATCAATGCTAAGTATGATTTTATATTAAGGTTGATATTGTTTTGGGTCACTTCTATGTCTCCAGTGGCTTTTTAATAGTTACATTTGGTCATAGAAGTCATAACTATTGCTCTTCTAGCAATCAAATGTTCTTTTGTTTTTCACCAAAGGGTCCCTGGACCTGTCACAGAAACTCACTTCACTTGCTGAAAAATTTGACCCAGGTCCTCTCAGGGAGAAGAAGGGAGTGTATAATTTCTTGTGCTGACTTATTTGTAGACCCCTGGAATATGGTTCCATGTGTGTTGGGCCTGCATCTGAAGAGTGGCCCTCCCAGTCGTGATTGTTTCCCCATTCAAGTTATCCAGTTTGCACCATATGGCTGAAGCTGGCTTCTCTAAATGGCCTATGCACTTATGTAAAACATACTTGTGAGGGAATTAGTAGCATTTACTGTTGCTTTCCTGTCTTGGAAAAATCAGAGTCTAGCATTCCGGAACCACTTCATTTTTTGAGAAGCATCAAACAACTTTGGACTTCTAAATAATTAAGCAGTTTATAGCAAAGAGTTTGATGATCAGTGTATAATTCTGTAGTGGTAACTGTGATTTTTCCTCCCAATAGCTGTGCAATTCTTATAACAGTGACAACTTTTACTAGATATAAATAAAAGCACTGGCTACAAATACAAATATAAAATAAGTAAAAATAATGAGCAAAGGTGAAATTCTGTTCAGGAAAACCAATTTTGAGCCCTGCTTGTCAAAAACTCAGTCACAAATTGTGTCATGCTATAGCGTAGTGGTTACGAATCGGGCTGCGAACCTTAAGGTCAGCGGTTCGAAACTACCAGCCGCTCCGCGGGAGAAAGATGAGGCTTTCTACTCCCGTAAAGATTTACACCCTTGGAAACCCTGTACAGGGTCGCTATGGGTCGGACCCGACTCAATGGCACTTAACAACAACAACAATAGTGTAGTGGTTACAAATCTCACCACCAGCAGTTCGAAACTACCAGCTGTTCCATTCAAAGATGAGGCTTTCTGCTCCCATAAAGATTTACAGCCTCAGAAAACCTATGCAGAGTCACTATGAGTCGGAACCAACTCCACGGCACATAACAACAACAAAAACAACATCTATAAAAGAGACCCAAACAATTAAACAAAAAAAATCTTGATTTATGTGTTGTTCCTAGTGGTTCATGGGTTTTCCAGTGGGCAAGTAATTTTTTTTTTCATTTATAAAAAAGAGGGTTTCTGATCCACATTATAGGTGATATGTACCAGAAACCTGTTGATGGAAAGCAACTATGCTGAGAGTCAAAGAAAATGAGCTAGATTAATTTACCATTACCATTTTATAATAGAAAACCTTTATGGGAGCATCTTGGTGTTCCCATTTTTCAGGACTTTTATATTGGTGATCTGCAACATGAACTAGAAATGCAGGGATTGGTTACCAGTTTCCTTATTTCAAAGGTTCTTGTAAACTTGCATATACAATCAGCCCTTCTGATATTGGATTACAGATTTAGGTTCTCATCATTTGTTTACTTATTATACCTTCTAGATACATAATTTTCTCTTTTTAATCATCCACAAGTACTCAAATTATTGGGTAAACAGGTGATGAGCTAACAAAATTGTCGGCAGAACACATCAAAATATCAAACAGAGTCATACCCAAGGTAAAAACATATTCTTCACAGTATGATCTCATTTTATTCTTAAAAGGGTTTATTATTCTGCACTGGAATATACCTGGCATTTGCAAAGCTTTTCTTACCCCAGAATCGAGATACATGGTCCTATGCCACCTACTGGAATAATTGAAAACTACAAGTATAATTGAAATGAATAAAAATGACAAATTCAGGATGCTTTGCTGTCAAGGAGTTTCCTAATTAAACAAAGCACTTCCAGCAATCACATGTTGGAAAACAGCACATTGCTAAATGATGCCTGGCCATGCATACATGGGCAGGTGGTAATGGTTATAGTGTAAGTAATCAAGGATGCTCTTGTCCACCAGAGATTTGTAGATGCTTTCCTGAAAAGCTCGTTGGAGGTATGTCCGGGGCTTCTCAGGCAGGTTTATTTCTTCATCCTCAATTTGATGGGCTAACTGTTCTATGGAAGGAAGGTCTTCCTCCTGTAAAACACAGCAAAGGACCATATTCTTTTGGATTTTTTGTTGTTGTTAAGTACCATTGATTGGTCCCGACTCAAAGGGTTTCCAAGGAGTGACTGATGAGTTTGAACTGCCAACCTTGTGGTTCAAATAAGAAGGTGGTTTCACTCTAAAGAAAAATATTGTGCTCAGCCCCACACATGGCAATTCGAAGCCTTTAATTTTTCAGAAAAGAATTATCTGTAAATCTTGTTTGTTTAAAAAACATTTAAGGGAGGAAATGATTAAACCTATATGATTTACTTTGATACAATCTGAAAGAAATAGGATTAAAAAAACCCTAGATCAATTTTCAGTAAAGTAAAATTTCATTGTTAGCTTTAAAGACACGACTCAAAGAGAATAAAGTTAATTTGAAATTAAAAATCATATGCTATACATATCCATAATTTAAAAAATATTTTAAAATATTTTGTTGTAAGTATTTTCAAACATTCAATCAAGTTGACAGAATTGTACTGTGGACATCCACCCTAGATTCTACAGTTCAGATTTCATTGTATTTGCTTCATTATATACTGCCTATCTGTAATTGTTGTTAAGTGCTGCTGAGTCAGTTTTGACCCATAGCGACTCTGTATAGTGTTGCTGAGGAGCAGCTGGTGAGCTTGAACCACCAACCTTGTGGTTCAAACCGACTTTGCAGTCCAGTACATTGCTGTTGCTGTTATGTGCCATCGAGTCGGTTCTAACCCATAGCGACCCTGTACAGGGTTTCTGAGGCTGTAAATCTTTACGGGAGCAGAAAGCCTCATCTTTCTCCCATGGAGTGGCTGGTAGTTTCGAACTGCTGACCTTAAGGTTCGCAGCCCGATTTGTAATCACTATGCTACCAGAGCTCCTTTGGGCTATTATAAAAAAGTGTCTCACCAAGGTTTGAGCTTTTGAAGAGTGTAATAATTGAACATTTTCCTAAAGAAACATTCTTGTGGACTTTGATGGTGCATTTATTTGGAATTGCAATAGTTTTACATTTTGTTCTGAACAGAAAGCAAAAATGGATTGCTTGTGGAGTACCACTGGACTAATAATTCAGTTATGAGTCTGTAGATAGAAAATAGATTCACTTGAGTATTTAAGTAAGGCACTAATGTTTCTCAGCGCCGTCAAGTTGGTTCTGACCCATTAGCGACCCTGTATAGGGTTTCCAAGGAGCAGCTGGTGAGCTTGAATCGCCGACCTTGCAGTTCAAATGGCTTTGAAGTCTGTGTATTAACCCACAGTGCCACACCAGGACTCCAGGGCACTAATAGATGCCTGAGATTATGCACACAGTAGTGAGGGCTGTGGGATTTCAGATTTAAATAAACTCAATAAAAGCAGGGAGGGGAATAGATAAGCGATGCTGAGAACTCTATATTTAGGATGCCGAAATGTTACAGTCCTATTAACATGTCATCAAGAATATATGATGCAAAATATACTAGGTCTGCTCTTTCTCCCTTATTTTCTGGATAATTCTATCAAACCAACACAGCAACAGGTTAGATGATGCTGTTTTACTTGGGTTGAATAATGTGAAATCACAACATGAAAAATCTCAAGAAAATCTTGTTCTAGGTGGTAAGGAGATTTTTATACACTTGCCTCTCTTAGTCTGACCATTTCACCTGTAATAGTGACTATCTCATCTTTCACACTGTGACTACCTCACCTGCACATCTCAGAGTGACAATTCCACCTCTCAAAGTGAGACCATCTCACCATTCCCAGTGTGACCATCTCACCATCTCAGTGTTACACTCTCAACTCTCATTGTATGACAGTCTCACCTCTCCTGGGGACCACAGCGCCTCTTACAATGTGACAATTCCAGCTCTCACACTGATCCTTTCAGTCTGAACACCTAACCTCTTACAATTTGGAAACATCACTTTTCCTAGACTAGCACATCTCTTTCACTGAGCAGCTCACATCTCAGAGTTACCATTTTACCTGTCACATTATGACCAACATCACCACCCAGAGTAACCACACTACCAATCAGTACGCCCTTTTCACATGTAGTGTTACAATCTCACTCTCTCCTCTGTGATCGTCTCGTGTCTCAGTGTGAGCATCTCACCTATCATAAGTGTTCACACAGTGACCATTCTCACTTCTCACACTGTACCCACGTCACCTCAGTGTGACCAAGTGACATTTCAGTATTCCCATTTCCTTTTCTATACTGTGGCCATCTCCCCCTCACACTGATGGTTTCACCATTCAGGTCTCTGAGTGTGAACATTACACCTCTCACAGTGTGTCCTCTCCAAGTATGACCTCTGACCTCTCAGAGTGTGACCAATTCACTTCTCACCCTATGACAACAGCACTTCTGCATGTGATCATTTCACCTCAGTGTGGCCACCTGAAATCTCATTTTGACAATCTCACACCTGTCACTGTGACCATTTCATCATTTTCTGGGCCCATCTCAACTCTCGCAGGGTGAACATCTCAACTCTTACACTTTGACTACTTTTTCCTATTACGTTGTGACCATCTTAGCTCTCATGAGCATGGCCATTAACCATTCAGTGTACCTATTTCAGCACTCACACTCTGACCACAACACTCAATGTGACCATGTCACCTCTTAGTGTGGCCATCTGACTTGTCAAAGTGATCATCTGTCATACTGTGATCATCTCACATCTTACAGTGTCATCTCAAAGTGAGAGCATGTAACTTGTCAGTTTGACGATTCATCTCTCCATTGTGAACATCTCACCTCTTGGTGAGAATGTGACCATTCAGAGCTCAGTGTGATTGTCTTAACTCTCACACTGACCAGCTCACCTCTCTCAGTCTGTTCATATCAGCTGTCACACAGGGGTCTCAACTTTCAAAGGGGGACCATCTCTTTCATATTATGGCCAACTAATTTCTGAAACTGCTATGTGACTGATGACATGGTGACTATCTTAACTCTTGCAGTGCAAATCATGTCAGCTCCATGTCACCATCTCACCTTTGATCATCTCATTTGCAAGTGTGACCACTGCACTTCACCGCTCACAGTAATACTAGCTAACATTTCAGTGTAACTATTGTTGTTGGTAAGTGCCATCGAGTCGATTCTGACCCATAGTGACCATAGTGACCATAGGGGTTCCAAGAAGCAGCTGGTGAACTTGAACCACCGACCTTGCAGTTCAAACGACTTTGCAGTGTGACACATCAGCCCACAGCGCCACACCAGAAGTCATGAGGTGGTCACCGTAAGAGAGGTAAAATGGTCAGACTGAGAGATGACATAGTCATCGTCATTGGTGAGATGGTCATTCTGAGTTGTCACACAGTTAGTTACAGTGTGAGAGGTGACATAGTACACTGAGATATGAAATGGGCACACGGTGAGACAGTCACACTGTGAGTTGAGATCATCATACTGTGTGACACATGAGGGTGCTACAATATAAGGTGTGCTATCTCACCTCTCTCAGGGTCAGCAGTTCGAAACTACCAGCTGTTCCGCAGGAGAAAGATGAGGCTTTCTGCTCCTGTAAAGATTTACAGCCTTGGAAACCCTGTTACAGGGTCACTATGAGTCAGAACCGACTCCACAGCACATAACAACAACATCTCACCTTCTCAATGTGTTGATCTCCATTCACAGCGTGACTATCTCACCATGTGTCCATTTCATATCTCAGTGTAATATGTCACCTCTCACACTAACTGTCTGACAACTCAGAATGACCATCTCACCAATGACTATGTCATCTCTCAGTCTGACCATTTTACCTCTCTTACTGTGACTACCCCGTGACTCCAGTATAACCATATCACAACATAGTGTGACCATCTCAACACTTGCAGTAACCACCCCACATTGAACAATGTTCACACTTGGTTTATCGAATCTAGTTTTCATAGTGTGACCATCTCACACCTCATGGTGTCACCATCTCACCTCAGTGTGACTATCCCACAACTAGTACTGTGACATCTCACAGTACTATTGACCATCTCACATCTCCTACTATGACCAGTTCACCTCTCAGTGTGACCATCTTTTACATTGATCTGACCATCCTACCGTTCATTGTGCCATTTCACTTCACAGTGTTACTATCTCACCTTGCATTTGGTGATCACCTTTTACTCTGATCATCTTACCATTCTTGTGTCCACTTAACCTTTCAGAGTTGATCATTCACCTCTCACTGTGTGACTAGCTCATTCTCAGCATGGGTACCTCAGAATTTGGTGTGAGAATCCTAACGCTCACTGTTACCATGTCATACTGTGACCATCTCACGATTCAGAATAGCCGTATCCCCAATCACGGTGATCATTTCACCTTTCATACTATGATCTTTGAAATTCTCTTCAACATTCATAGTTTGATGATCTCACAATCACAACTATCACAGTGTATTAATCTGACCCTTACAGTGTTGCTATCTCATTTCTTTCCTCTACCTCTAATACTGTGACAATTCAGATGCCAAACATTGTGACCATCTCCTGCTCAGCACCTCACCATTTCACTTCTCAGTGTGACGTATGTATCAGCATTCTCACTATTGTCTGTGTAATCACCTCTACTCTAATAAGACTACTTCACCCTCGGGGCTTCCATCTCACAATGCGATGTGAAAAGTTCACAATTCAATGGAATCTTATCACCTCTCACAGTGTGACAGACCATCCTGCCCTTAAAAGTGTGACCATCTCACACAGTAACCATCTCCCCTCTGGTTGACCTTCACACCACTCAGTGTCAATGTGTCATCTCTCAGTATGACCATTTTACTTCTAAGTGTGACCATCCTACTTTCCACAAGTGACCATCTCAACTCTCCATGTGTCTATCTCCTATCTCATTATGATTAAAATAGTACTTTTCACAGTGTGACCATCTCCCTTCCTACACTGGTCATTTCAGCTCTCACAATATGACAGTTTTATGTTTCAGAGTGTGACTATCTTATCTTTCATAGACTGATCGCTCATATCTCATACTGTGA